TTACTTTTGTAATGCACAATATCAAAATCAGCAGCAGGTGTGAACCATGAGCAAATCATAGAAGCAATCTAGCCTTGAAATGTTCGCCAGACAATCGACACCAGTCAACAACTCATGCCTGCAAGACAGAGAGAAAGAAGAGGATTATCAAATATTAGTGATGATAATTAAACAGCAGAAACTTCATATGAATAGATTAAGAAACAACTGAGATGACACAATGAAGTAATTCCCTTCTAGGCAATCACTTGGTCTCGCTGACTTTCTCCAGGAATCCGACCGCTGCCTCTCTGAATATGGAATCGTTCCTGATACCTCCCCTGAAATAATTCATCAACGATAGGGAAAACATAAGTTGCAGCTCTGGATCACCATCCACTCCTTTCTCAACCTCCCAAAACTCGCCATTTAATGCTTCAAGTTCTACTCGATTGAGAAACAGAGATGAGATATACATGGCAGAGAGTGAACAAAAAGTGGTTCAATAAAACCTCAGTTGTACTAAACCACACATAAAAATGGAGAAAAAAATCATGAGAGATAGAGGGGAAGAGTCACCTGAAACCAGAATTGAACTGTGAATCGTCTTCTATTGCCCGACTGCAAAACCTTGCTGAAACGTAGAGATGGGCCATTGGATATAATTCGATTGCTCTTCACATCAAAGCAATCCTCTGTTTTATTGCCCTCTGGCTGGGATTCAACAACCACCGTTGGCCCGATTCTCCACCACGAACTCGTCACTAGCATTGCCATAGAAAAGAGCAAATTAAAAAAAGGATCACAAACTAAATTGAAAAAAACTAAACATCAAAGAGAGGGACAAAACAGAACATCAAAGTAGAAATTTCTAGCGCATACCGGAATCTGCAGATAGAGCTCTCCCCGGCTCGCCTGTGGACGACGGAACTCTTCATATACCAAATACCAAAAGTCAATTAAGAAAGAGAGGAGGATCACCTAGGAGCCACAAAATCACCCAGCAGTAAAAAGAGAGGAGAAAAACTGAAAATCTCACCGGACATCACCTTCTCAAGGTTCCCCTCCTTTGCTTGGGATTTTTCAACTGATTGATCTTCAAATCCAAGAAATCCTCTCCCCTAAATGGTATATATGTGGGTTTCAACAACCATCGCCGACCACCCAAACCTCTACCAGGAACTCGTCACATGCATCTGTTTAGAAGAGAGAAAAAATTTACAAACTAAGCCGAGAAAAAGCAAAACATCGCAGAAGAGAGATGAAGCAAAAACATCAAATTCTCACCTCATAACGTTAAGTTTTATAAATCTCGCTCCCCTCCGTCGGATCTCGACTCCACCCAGAGGGTCACGTCCAATGCCGATCTCAAAGACTCTGGGAAAGGATGAGAGAACAAACCCATTTAGGAACAAAGAGAAATCCCGCTGTGGGTCCTCTCCAGCAGATCTACAATCCAAAACATAGATCATCAGATTGTTGGCTTAGAACCACTAAAGAACCTAAATCAGAACCCAGAAAATAAGATTGTTGGCTCTGTGCTAGCAAAAGACCCTAAATCAGAATCCCAGGAAACAAACCTCCCGGAAGCTTAGTGGGCTGTACGTACTTTACTTGAAAGACAATGACTTCTCGCTTCCACTTCCCTTCCCCCACCACCCATTACCACCGCTCTCTCTGCCTCTCTGTCTAGCAATTCTTCTCCGATCCGCGAAACTCCGCAGGCCTGGAAATGGACAGCAAGGAGGCGTGGTCGAGGCTCGTAATCGCTTAAGCCCTCAAATCAACGAAAAACTCAACAAAAGAAAGTAGTCGATCCGCCTTGAGGGTGAGAGATTAGAAGGAAGTTGAGAGAGTCTGAGAGATAATAAGGAAGTTGAGAGAGAAACAACATTCAACGAGATTTCAAAGATAGAGAGAGAACTCGAAAATAAAAGAGGGGAAGAATGCAGAGAGACGGAGCTAGCTATTTCATCTCGTCTCTCACCTCCTCCTCCTAAAAAGCTAAGCTCTTCTCCCAACCACACAGTCGATGATAGTACAACCAAGACCTCTCTGACAGCTTCTCGAAAACCGGAAGGGCAATTGGGAGATAGGTAGGCTGTATGGTGGGAAAATGGTCACCAAACTTCGTTGCGAAGGATCACAATAATCAAGAAACCCCTTTGCCTTTTCTGCTTTCTTTCTCATCATCTACCCCCCTAACAGTGGTGAAGTTCCCAAAAATTCTGGGGCAAAGGGAATCACATGCGATTTGAAGGAGGGAAGGATCGAGAGAGATAAAGAGAGAAGAAGTGAAAGCGAAGGGAAAATGAGCGTGCAGCTGAGGGCAACGCGGCACACACAGAAACAACGGCGGGACCCAGACGTAGGCCACCAACCAATTAGAAAAGGCGGCCGGGCCCAATCTCAGAGCATGGACCAATGGGAGGAGGGTGAACAGTAATTTTGAGTCTAAATGAACAGGAAAATCGCGTCTAGGCGTACCGTAACCGTGTCTTTGCAAATAACTTGTTCTAATATGTTTATATCATTATAGAAGTGCGTCGTGACTAAATAAGATGCAACATGGAAGTCGATTCAATTATGATATTTCTATGAGATATTCTTGGATTCTGAATTCAACATGCTACATATTGAATTGTGAACTAAATCAAAACATTTAAATGAATGTTCTTTAAATTGATTTACAAACCTTATCTTTTACACTTTGACTCGAGCAATTAATGTTATCGAATCCCAAACCGAACCAAGTCTCACTTCCTAGACCATCAACTAAAAGTTGACAATTGCTATGTGTCATTTCCAATGATCCACCTTATCACCAAACCAACCAGTCTCACCTTTAAAGTCAATATTAAATAAATGTGTGACTTACTCATGGTGTCCCCCAAAGGGCAGTCACTCAACTTTTGAACTACCCTACAATGACAACATATTATGATGCATTGCATATGTTATCCGCACAATGGTATCACAAAGAACAGATATATGTATACTATTATTATAAAGATTGGGATCTCCTTGCCGCAAGCCCCGCGATGGTCTGAAGAACCCAGGTGGAGTACCATTCATCAGCACAGAGAACGATGACGACGTATCTCGCATTAAAAATAACGTTGATTATTGATTAGTAATATCTTCTTTAAAGGTGCGAAATGAATGTAATCCTATTGTAACAATATTTTAGAGGTTTAAATTCGAATCTCAAAAGATTACGCTCTTCAAAATAATAATCCTTCAATCAGGGTATAATTTTTCGCGCGTTTCCACACGTATTCATTTTGTATCACATACAAACTTTTTTACTTATCTAATCGACGTGCCAATATAATATAAAAGACAGTCGATTCAATTCATATTTTAGCTACTATTTACCATCAATGGTTACATATAATAACTAGCTTATAACCCGGCCCGTTGGCCGGAATGTTCATATTTGATTATTTGTATTTTTATGTTACATTTAAGTCTATCAACCCGTTTAATTTTATTGAAAATTCTTCGATCTAGATGATATATAAAGAAAGAATATATAGGTCGAACTTTTGGAGAAATAAGAATATAAAATATAAAAATGATTGATCTCATTTTTATAATGATAATTAAGCTCCAATTAAAATGCTATTGGTTAGTTGATTGTCAAGAAAGATAGAGTACAAAAGCTCATTGGAATTCCCACACGCCATAGATAGTTTGAAACACAATTTTAAACCTCACAATCCTACATAAAGGGTTCAACGCACTCCTTAGGAACAATATGCCACTAATCAAAAAGAAATGGAGAGTTGTTGATTCAAGTCAACTATATACTAACAACTCAATTAAGAGGGGACCAATAAAACTTGAGAGCAAACGACAAAATTAGGGTTACCTCCAATATGCTAATAAACTCGATCGAAGTAATAAGACACAAAATTAGACACTCCGTATCTATCAGTTCCAATAGATTGAATAAAAAATCGACCTAGCTGCAAAAACCATAAACCTAAAGGTCCAATAGTCACCACTCTCTGCTGTAGAACCAAATTTTTATCTCAAGAGACATATGTTTCAATAAAAAATTCAATCTCTAATCCTCCTTCTACAACTCCATTTATTGAACTCCATTCTATTTGTCATGGATTGATATCGGAGTTGAAATCTTCTACTTGCCTAGCTTAAATCCCGAATAATAAAATCGTAGTGCCAAGAGATACCAAAAGATTGATTTCAAAGGCGGCCTTGTATTGAAAAGTGAAAGGGGCGTAAACTATTGCACGATAGAGGGAATTTTGGAGGAAGTTAAAAGAGATAAGAACAAAGATAAAAAAAGCACTAAATTTAAATTGAAAATTTAAAGGATACAACACGCAGTAACATAATTAGTTTCTTCTATGGTAGCCAATTATCAATCTACCTTTAGCAAAAAAATTAAGGCGAGAGCAAAAAAATTTAAAATTGAGAAAATTACATGAAACTCTAGCTAATATGAAAACTGAAGTATCAAGCACCATAAAAATATATACGGTAGACTTAGTGGGCTTGGTAATCATGATGGAAAATTCATCCAATTTTCAGAGTCTAACTTTGTGTATGCTTTGTACTAAAAAAGATACAACAAATTTGTTTAGTGTAATTGGTTGTGATTGTTGTCTTTGTTTTAAGAGACCCGGATTCGAATCCTCATATTGATATTTTTATTGAGAAATATTTAATTGTAAAGACAAAAATGTCCTTCCTACTTTCACTCTCGTTGCAAGAAATTTGAAATGGAAAAAAGTTCACAAAACTCTACCATATATTATTGGAGGATTTAGTCGAGTAACCCCAATTCTCACCCTTTATTTATTTATTTGAATTATCTATGAAACAATTCAGTTTTTACTTTTTACAATATGCAAATTGACCGCTGGGAGGGTGACCCAGTCCTTACTTCTTTTTACCCTTACCCATCCGCCGGACTCTCTCTGTTAGAGAAATCTACGGCGGTGAAACTGTCGATTTCCCTCGCTTCGCTTACAAGTTACACCACCCTATAACTTCCCAAGAATGTCGACGGAATTCGTCCGGCGATTCTCCACCCTCTTCACCAGCTCACCCACCAACATGGTAGTAAACCCTCACACACAAATCTATCATCTTTGCCCTTTTCCATCCCCTTCGTTTCCCTACTTTCGGGTTTCACGGGGTTTTCTTTCTTCTTCTGGGTAATCAATTTCAGTTGTTTCTTTCTTTTCAGGAGCAGCGATGGACGGCCGGCGTCGACATAGATGCCATGATTGAGTCAATGGCGAACAAAACTTCAAATGTGAGGCCGGCCCAGGTTCAGCTCATCAAGCAGCTCATTTCCTCCATCAACAACGTTACCCGCGACCATCCCGTTTACCCCGTGGTAAGTTCCTTCTGAACCCCAAAAAAAAAGAGGGGGAAAAGCAGTAGAATTTAATCAGTCGTAGGATGTTTGAAGTGATTTGTTGCGTTTTTTGTTCCTATGTATTAGATGATTCGGGCGGCGATGGCGATGTTGAATGAGGGAATGGGGTGTAGTAAGGACGAGATATCTGAATTTATAGCGAGGGAGTACGATGTGTCCCCTGTTGTGAATTGTGCTAGGGTAGTTTATGAGTTGGATAAGCTTGTGAAGGGTAGGGAGATAGTTTTGACTGCAGAGAATCGGTACTTGGTTCGAGTGGAAGAGAATGAGAAAGAGGACGAGAGTGGCAGCCGTTTGATTCGTGTAATGGGACAAAAACGCGGTAGGCGTGGTGGTGGAAAGGGTTGGAGAGGCAGTAAGGTGAGGAAAGTTGTTGATGAGAATTTGGTGGTGGTGGAGGATGATGATAATCAGAATGTAAGTAATGGAGGAGAAAGCAAGGAGAGGCAGTAAGGCTCGGAATGATAGATGTAGCGAGGTAGAAAGCAAGGAGTTCCCACCTGGGTTTGAAGGAAGTTTTGACCGAATTGAGGAAAGAGGGAAGCTGGTGGGTCGTAGAGAAGTAGAAAGAATCGAACTTTTGCAAGGTGAGGAAGAATGTGTGCAGGGGGCTGGTGATGTAGGGAATGTATTCAGGGAGCCTGGAGGAAATGAAGTTTCAGGAGACCGACAAGAAATATTGGAAGCTGAATGTGCCAATGAGGCAACTGCATTGGTTATTTTACCGAGCAAAGAAGTGGAAGGTAATGATCCTGCGGTTCAAGTTGATCCGACTTTGAATGCGAAAACCCTTGAGGCAGTAAGTTGTTTAAGGCCACTAGAAGTTGTAAATGTTGAAAAACAAAGGAAGCTACAAGAAAAACATGACAGAGTGTTGAACACGATCGGGGATTTGAGGTGCATTCTCTTCCATGTTAGTGTTTTTGTTACATTGGTAGTAAATCTTCTTGTTTGGATTTTAGGCATGATGTGGCAATATAATGTCTGAACTTGTTGCTCCTTCCATGAATTTATAGCGACACTGCAGCAAGGTTTTGTGAGGAGAACCTGCAGTCTAGTAACAAGAAACATTTGTTTGATGAGGTAAGAAGTTCCTTTTGATCCTTGATGGGGTTGAGTCGTGTGGCTAAGTATCTAGATATTGCTGTGCTACTAAACTGCCGCACCTTGTAATTTTTGGTTCGTGTGGGTTGTTACAGGAGCATTATATGGAGTTATTGAAGAAGGCAAAAGCTGTTCAACTAGCTTTGAAGGATGCCATCGATAAAGTGAAAGCAGTAGATGTGTCAAACCATACTGGGACAAAAGTAGTGGCATTGCCGGACTCTGTTTCAGGAACTGCATCTGAGTCTGATATTTCAAAAGTGATGAGGCAGGGTAAGCGGAAAGGGAAAACCCAGCATCGTAAGGTGTCTCGAGAAGTTGATGAACTGCTGAAATCTCCCCCAGAACAGGAGGCACGCGAAGATATTCTAAGTGAACAGCTAAAACGTCCGACAAAGCTAACGATCCGGTTATCCTCTCCGAGTCTGCCACTCCAGCAAAATGAATCATCTGAATGACAAATCTTTTGTGGCCTTGAAAAGGAGTGCGAAAGAAAGTGGGAAATCGTTTGTGGCCTTGAAAAGGAGTGCCAAGGAAAGTGGCCCCGTGATAGAAGCATTTCTCAACCTCGTCAAGTTCATTGTGTGGCTGCGAAGGGTCTTAAACCAATAAGTGCTTGCCTAATGTATGATATGGGCTGGACTATAAAAGGCCCTAGGTGCAAAAGATCTCGGAATAGAGGACCAAATGTCAAGGAATCAAGACAGGCTAGAGAACAGGAGGGCAAAATCCCTATGAAAGAATTGAAGATGAATCAGCCAACATCAGAGGATTGTATTCAGACGTGCCAGCAGCACCAGGGCCAGGGTTCCTCACAACCTGAAGAGACATCAGTTGAAGTCCTGACTGAGCGGTTGCCTTCACTGCATGAAAAGGAGTTGCAAAATCATGGGAAGGCACTTCCAATTAAGTTGGCTTTGGAGCCCAGTACTGGGCGGATAATCTATCTTCAAAGTCCTCGTAAGCAACATGGACAAGTTCAAGGCCAGGGGGACATGTTAACGACCAGACTAGTAATGACTTTTGTGATGTAAGACTTGCTTAGACCATAAAGAGCATGACGAGAAACTGCAAGTGGAAGGTACTCATGAGAACATCCCCAAGTTGAAACCGAGTGCTGGTGCAACTGATTACTCGTTACATCAGCATCAGTCTAAGGAGTCAGGGAAGCCACCGCAGTTTGAAGATCAAATATCTTCGTAGAGCAGCTGCAAGATGTTCAACCAAAAACCAGTTCAACCACAGATTTCCAATGAGCGGGACGAAGGCTAATCATCTTCGTAGAGCTGCAAGTTGAAGCCCAACCGAGCACATTGCATTAGATAACTAGAAAACTCCTTGGAATCTGATCAGTAGGAGCAACAGCAGCAACTGGTACAAGGCCAAGGATCTAAGGAACAAGAAGAGCTGGAAGTTGAAGCCCAGCAGCCCCTCTATCAGAGCTTGCAAAGTCCGCACCTTTGATCACTTCATCAAGTCATAAGCACGAGCAAAAAATAACACCAGCAACAAAGGGCTGAAGGAGAAGGAAGGTTGACAAGATCCAGAGTATTTACAGCAGCAGCAGCAGCTCTCTCGCCATTGTCGTCTTCTCGGCACCAGAAACAGCAATCTCCAGGGTCTTCATTCGATAGTGCTATGAAGGTTTTTCTCAGTGCATCGAAGATGGTGGGAAAGGTTTCGATTGAGGCAATTTCAGAGATTCCTGAAGTTCATGGAGGATTGAGGCGGTTCGTGAGGTCGGTACATTCGACGATGAAGGTGAAGCTGAATTCCGCTGTGAAAGCCGTGCGTGGTGGAGGAGAGGGAGGCGGCAGCGGCGAAGCTGCAGCCTATGTATGCGGTAAGTAATGTTGGGGCAAATAGTTTAAGCAGGGCGAAGCTGAATGTTGAAGCTCTAGGGTTTGAAAGTTGTAGGTCTTATACATATATATCGTCTGAATTGCTTTTAGGTCTTATGCACGATTTGTAATTTGTGTCGAATGTAATGTTGAATTGTTGATGACAAGTCTGATGATGAATTGTGATTCGCATGCATGCATGAATTTTTCTTTAGTCTTTCGTTATGCGCAACGAAACGACAATTTCTCGACCTCTAGCTAGCTAATGGTTTGAGGCTAATGAGAGGATCGCTCATTGAACTCTGTTTATGTGATTATGATAACTGTAGCATACTGAAGATTTATCTAAACTTCAACAGGACAACAATGGCGGCTTCCAACCGAGGGCCAATACTATGGTGCCGCAATAAAAAGTACGGTACCGGTGACGCTAAATATGATTGGACCACGTGGAGTTGATGTGGCATGGTTGATTTATTATTTCGAGCCCATGACCCTTCACAATTGTCCAAACTGAAACCCTACCCAGCAGACGGAATCACCTGTGTTTCCCACCGCCGTTTTCTATTTGTTTTCTTTTCCAGTAATTAATTTTAATTTGATTTAATTTAATTTTAATTTTAACTGCATTTTATTTTTATCACGAATCATGGAACAAAAATATGAACGGAAGGAAAGCGTCTTCGTCGAGCTCTCGGTCCAAATTGCTCCGGAGAGAACACTGTGAGAATACCAAACTACTTCAGCAAACTCAACTGTCTCTGATCAGAACTTTATACCCTCCACTAAACTCCTTCACCGTATTCCCCCTCCATTCATTTTGTGCAAAAAAACGACGAATCCCTAGTACCGGGAGGCCCTCTGTCTCCTTCGAAGTATCCTGCCGACACCGATCCTCTCTCTGCGGTCTCCCCTTGCTCTGCACCCTTCCTGTTGACGAAGCGGGTATTCGAAGTTAGAGACATTGCCTAACAAATCCGAAGGGTCCTGGTAGTTCAATTCGTTTGTTTTATTGAGAGACTAGGACAATAATTAGTCTCTTTTTGGTATCGGATTAGGCCTAGCTTCCTTTTGGCTCTAAGCTACTATGTCATGGATGTTGGAACTGGTTGCTCTGTCCAGCTGTCCCTGTTCTACTTCTTTGTTCTTTCTATTTTTATTGGCATAAACAATAGCAGAGCCTATCTAAATCGGCCGAGCGGGAAAGATAATTCCTTTGTCCCTATTCTGCTTCTTTGTTCTTTCTTTTTTGGTTGATACATCAAGCATTAGCAGAGCCTATAGCTATGTCAGCCGAGTGGGAAGGCCAGCATCAATTCATTATATTTTATCAAACATCTACGGATAACATATATAATTATGACAGAGGCCTGCTCTAAACAAATTCCACGAGGCCTTCCATTCCCCTGCCAATAATGTGTTTTGCAAGAATCCTTGTTGAAATCGGACCTTTAACCTTTGAAATCTTTCATAGGCCAAATAAAATCACCATATTGGATATCATTTGTCTTCAAACATATCCTGCACATCCTGATATAAGCCAGTGCATCATTTGTTGTAAGCTTCTCGACTGCACCTCCTCCTGCTGCTACTACTCCTCCCATCATCTGTGGCTCCCGAGAACTTGGATGCACAAGGTTTATACAAAATACGAGTAATTAAATAGCCAACATCAAATTGCATTCTAATAACATGAGCTCGTGGATACACCAAGTGGGTAAGATGGTATTTAATATGTTAAGTTGCCAATTTTGGTCTACTGGCAACTTGAGTGTAACTGTGATTATTTGGATCAGCCGAGATAATGGTGTTACCAGTTTAATAGGCTTAGATGGGTTGATTATGCAAATTGGCTCATGTTACTATCTCCATGGCTTGAAAATTGGTGAGCATGTTGCATTCTTCAGCCACTCACTGGGTTGCATTGCATTCTTTCCCAAGTGCAACAGTGATCAACAGATTCCTCGAACAATGAGGATGGCTACTGTTTTGGAGCTTGTGAAAAGCAATTCTTTATCCTCAAAATAACTATCACACCGTCTTCCTTGCAAGACAACAACAAAGCTACTATTACTGCCACTATTCTTGTTTTCTTCTGGTTCCTTTTTTTTGTATCGATAAAAAACAACTAACAAGAATAAAAACCGAGTGCTTGCAATAACTTCCTTGGGACCACTATAATGTCCATCTTTATGTAATTTGCAAGCTGCAGCAGACGCAAACCATTTGGAGTTGAGGAAGAAGGAAAGAGATAGTAACGTGAAATCTGGGTGTTCTTGTATTTATCATAGTGCTGCTAGCAAGTTTGCAGCTGGTGTGTTGGCTGTGTTGAAGATTGAACTGGAGAAGGAAACTCTTGCTGCATTTGGATTCTGCATTGCATCAGAGTTGAAGAAAGGTGCCAAGTTTGAAAGTAGCTTGCTGCTGGAGAATACGGTGTCGTCTGGTTAAGTTCGAAATAAGCATTGCTTACTGTGTAAGCATTGCTGAGTCAGTCATTTACTTTGTGTTTTGTTACATTCCAGTCCAAACGTAGTGGGTCAGATTAGTTGAGCACTTTCAGCTCATTAGTTGTTTTGTTAGGAGTGCTAGCGTGATTTCAGGTTAAATGAACGTTGTTAGAGAGTCGTGGTCAGCAGGGAATGCCATATGTACTCTGCTCTTTATTCAATAAAAGCTTTGTCAGATTGCAATACAAGAGTTTACATTTGGTATCAGAGCTCTGCAAACTGTAACCAACAAGCTGTCAAGCAAATTTCTGTGAGTGCTGTGAGTGATATCAGTTGTCAAACTGAGAGTTGGGTGTGGGAAACACGAGTTGTATAGTGAGAAACGTCTGAACTAGGGTGAGAGTTTTCTGAAAGAAAGATGAGTGATTCAGGCAGCTTTGGTCAGGTTGGTCTTCCCAGATTTGATGGAGACTTCGATCATTGGAGTCTATTGATGAAAAATCTTCTCCGTTCCAAAGAGTACTGGACTGTGGTGGAAGATGGATTCAAGGATCCTGATGCAAGGGAAGAGGTGTCAGCTGCAGACTCCAAGATCCTGAGTGAGTTAAGGCTGAAAGATCTCAAAGCTAAAAATTATCTGTTCAATTCTATTGATAAGACTATACTGAAAACCATCACCAAGAAATCCACTGCCAAGGAGCTGTGGGATTCTATGAAGCTGAAATACCAAGGATCTGCAAGAGTCCAAAAAGCTCAATTGCAGGCTCTCCGAAGAACATTTGAGGTGCTGGAGATGAAGGAAGGAGAGACTGTTGCTGCTTACTTTAGCAGGGTGATGACTGTAGCAAATGACATGAGGAACTGTGGGGAGGAGATGCTAGATGGGAAGATTGTGGAGAAAGTTCTGAGGACACTGACAGAGAGGTTCAATTATGTGGTCTGCTCTATAGAGGAGTCACAAGACATTGAACTTTTGACTGTTGATGCTCTTCAAAGTTCTCTTACAGTCCATGAGCAGAAGTTCACAAGGAGGTAGTCCTCAGAAGATGATCAAGCTCTCAGAGCTACTCATGATTTTGCTGGGAGAGGAAGAGGATCTGGAAGAGGGTCTTATCAAGGAAGAGGACGAGGGCGTGAAGGTCGAGGCTGGAGCAAGGACATTGTGGAATGTTACAAGTGTCACAAACTGGGGCACTATAGGAATGAGTGTCCAGAATGGTATAACTCATATCAAGCTCACTATTCTAGTTGTGTACAGGATAAAACCATGGGAGATCTGCAGGATGACATGTTGTTAATGGCCATTGCTGAGGAAGAGATCAATATGAAGAACACTGAAGGTCTCATGGCATTACTGGAGGAACCACATACTGAGAAAAACGAAGACTGGTGGTTCCTAGACTCAGGTTGAAGCAACCATATGAGTGGAGACAAGAAATGGTTTGTGGATATGAACAATGACTTCAGCTGCAGTGTTAGACTGGGCAACAACACCAGGCTGGAGGTAGCTGGAAAGGGATCAATGAGGTTGCTCATCAACAACCTTCCTGTGCTCATTCAAGAGGTACTGTATGTTCCCAGTTTGAAATCAAACCTCTTGAGTGCGGGACAATGGCAGGAAAAAGGGTTAGCTTTCTTAATCAAGAATGGTTGCTGTAAAATCCGAGGTCTGCTTGTTCAAACTGAAATGAAGTCTAATCGGATGTTTGTGATACATGCTGAAGTAGGAACTGAGAATCATAGCCTGACTGCTCAGTGTCTGCAAACTGAAAACTCCACAGAATCAATTCTAAAATTATGGCACAGGAGATTTGGACATCTTAATGTGCAGAGTTTGCAGACATTAAGAAAGAAAAATCTGGTTCAAGGGCTACCAGAGTCACTGCAAGGGGAGATCGAGGTATGCTCTACTTGCTTAACTGGAAAGCAACATAGACTGCCATTTCCAAAGAAGAGTCAGTGGAGGGCATCTCAAAGGCTGCAACTACTTCATGCAGACCTCTGTGGTCCAATCACACCTATTTCAGTAGGAGGCAAGAGGTATATCTTCACCTTAACAGATGATTTTAGTCGAAAATTATGGGTTTTTTTCTTGTCTGCCAAGTCAGAAACTTTGAGCTTCTTTAAGAAGTTTAAAGCACAGATAGAGAAAGAAACAGGATTACCTATTGTGGGACTCAGAACTGACAGAGGGGGAGAATTCATGTTAAATGAATTCAAAGAATTATGTGATGAGGCAGGAATTCAGAGACAACTTACTGCAGCTCTCACTCCACAACAGAATGGAGTGGCTGAGAGGAAGAACAGGACAGTCATGAACACGGTGAGGTGCATGCTGCAAGACACCAGAGTTCCCTCTCATTTCTGGCCAGAAGCAGTAAACTGGGCCACTCATGTCCTTAATAGGAGTCCAACAGCTGCAAATCAGGGGAGGACACCTCAAGAACTGTGGACTGGTAGTTCTCCATCTGTCTCACATTTTAAAACTTTTGGTTGCTTAGCCTATGTGCATGTCCCAGATGAAAGAAGGAAGAAATTGGATCCCAAGAGTACTCAGTGTCATTTCTTTGGGATATCTACAGAGTCAAAAGCTTTCAGATTATACAATCCCATCACTAAGAAAATTGTGGTGAGTAGGGATGTTGTGTTTGATGAAAGTCAGGGCTGGAGCTGGAATGAAGAGATTCAGCCTGTCCTAACTCAACTAATCTGGGAAGGAAGTGATGATGTATGGGAGGATTCAGACACTGAAGCTGAAGAAGAGGAAATTGTTGAGCCAGTTGGTTCAGCAGAAGAACAACCCAGCAGTCCAAAAACTCCATTGGCCACAAATGCAGCAAATGAGGATGATGATCAAGATGATGACCTCCAAACTGATGTGTTGGGACTCCCCAGTGGCTCCAGAGTAAGGAAGCCACCAAGATATCTTGCTGACTATGACTGCAAGATTGCAGATGCTGAGTGGCTAGCTCTAGTTGTTCTCTCTGATGATCCCCAAACATATAAGCAAGCTGCTGCAGATCCAAGATGGAGAGCAGCTATGAATCTCGAATTTGCAGCCATTGTCAAGAACCAAACCTGGGTGCTAGTTGACCTCCCTCCAGGAGTTATTCCAATTGGCATTAAGTGGGTTTACAGAACCAAGCTACGAGAAGATGGCTCTATTGATAAACACAAGGCAAGGCTGGTGGCAAAGGGCTATTCTCAACAGCCAGGAATAGACTACACTGAAGTATTTGCACCAGTGGCTCGTTGGGATACAATTCGAGCTATCCTAGCATTTGCTGCCTCACATGGCTTTCCTGTCTATCAATTGGATGTAAAAAGTGCATTCTTGCATGGGGAGCTATCTGAGGAAGTCTATATTGAGCAACCACCTGGCTTTGTGGTTGCTGGGAAGGAAAGGAAAGTTTATAGGCTTCAGAAAGCCCTGTATGGCTTGAAGCAAGCCCCTAGGGCCTGGTACAGCAAGATCGAAGCTTATTTTCTGGAATCAGGCTTTGAAAGGTGCCCCTATGAACACACATTGTTCATCAAGAAGACATAAGGAAGCTTTCTGATTGTAAGCTTGTATGTGGATGACCTGCTGTACACAAGCAACAACACTGAGATGATTGAACAGTTCAAAAGGTCTATGGAAGCTAAGTTTGAAATGTCTGACCTAGGGAAGATGAGGTACTTCCTAGGAGTAGAAGTGCTGCAGAATGATGCTGGCATTTTCATTTGCCAGCAGAAATACATTAAAGATCTCCTGGAAAAGTTTCAGTTGGCTGACTGCAATTTTGTGAGAAATCCTACTGCACCTGGTCTAAAGCTGTCTAAGGCAGGAGATGGAATTCAAGTGGACTCCACTGGATATAAGCAACTTATAGGAAGCTTACTATATGCAACAGCCACAAGGCCAGACATAATGTTTGTTGTATGTTTGCTTAGCAGGTACATGGAGTCACCAACTCGACAGCATCTGTTGGCAGCCAAGAGGGTTCTGAGGTACCTGAAAGGCACTGTGAACCATGGCATCTGGTACAAACGAATGAATGAAGAAGATGGCCTTCTTGGGTACACCGATAGTGACTATGCAGGGGATGTTGACGATAGGAAAAGTACGAGTGGCTATGCTTTCTTCCTAGCTGGTGGAGTGGTCTCTTGGGCATCAAAGAAGCAGCATGTCGTCACTCTCTCCACCACAGAAGCAGAGTTCGTTGCAGCAGCCTTCTGTGCTACTCAGTGTGTGTGGATGAGAAGGATCTTGGAAGAAATAGACTGGAGCAGCTGTGTGAAAGGCAGTACCAGGATAATGTGTGATAATAGTTCTACCATCAAATTATCCAGGAATCCTGTGCTGCACGGACGAAGCAAACATATAGATGTCCGATTCCATTTCCTAAGAGAGTTGGCGAAAGAGGGAGTGGTTGAATTGGAGCACTGTGGGACACATGACCAAGTAGCAGACATTATGACTAAGCCCCTGAAACAGGAAACGTTCGAGCTGTTAAGGAGCAAGCTAGGCTTGTGTGCTGCTGATGTGTTTACTGAAGCAGGAAAGTGAGTTGGAGGAAGACTCCAGTTCAGGGGAGGACGTTGAAGATTGAACTGGAGAAGGAAACTCTTGTTGCATTTGGATTCTGCATTGCATCAGAGTTGAAGAAAGGCGCCAAGTTTGAAAGTAGCTTGCTGCTGGAGAATACGGTGTCGTCTGGTTAAGTTCGAAATAAGCATTGCTTACTGTGTAAGCATTGCTGAGTCAGTCATTTACTTTGTGTTTTGTTACATTCCAGTCCAAACGTAGTGGGTCAGATTAGTTGAGCACTTTCAGCTCATTAGTTGTTCTGTTAGGAGTGCTAGCGTGATTTCAGGTTAAGTGAACGTTGTTAGAGAGTCGTGGTCAGCAGGGAATGCTATATGTACTCTGCTCTTTATTCAATAAAAGCTTTGTTAGATTGCAATACAAGAGTTTACAGGCTGTAGATTGTTTTAAGCAGCGACACAGCTGTAGGATTTTGAAATCGCAAATGGCCAAAAGGTTCGAGGTTTGTAAAAAGTATCATAGAGTAGCTACTGATCGAGGCAAGAATCTATTGGCAGTTAAAGGGGCAGAATCAAACTGAGTTATGTGAATGCTGGTTAGCAGAAGAAGAATTCACCAGGCAACAAAGTAGAGATGGTGCATGATTCCTTTTGAAAGCCAGAATGCATGGGCATCATAATACTAGGAAGTAAAATTGATAGACCGTCATTTACACATGTTTTTACCCCCATTCTTACACCGTTTGAGGTGTTGATTCTCGTGTTCTAGGCCGATTTCACGGTAGGTTGTGCTTGTTTGTGATATTTCAGGTCCTAGGACGTGAATGAAGGCTTAGGAGCGAGTCTGGGGTCGATTGGACGAGGATCGGACGCATGGCGAGGTTCTGAGGAAGTCGCACGGGCACACCCACAACCCGCACGGCCGTGCAAGTGACCAGTTTGGCCGTGCGGGATCGTGCGTGGGCACGCACGGGATTGTGCGTGGCCACGCACGGCCGTGCAAGTGACCAGTTTGGCCGTGCGGGATCGTGCGTGGGCACGCACGGGATTGTGCGTGGCCACGCACGGCCGTGCAAGTGACCAGTTTGGCCGTGCGGGATTGTGCGTGGGCACGCACGGGCACAAGTGAAATCCGCACGGCCGTGCAACATACAATTATGGCCGTGCGAGTTGGCTGAGGTTCAACTAATTGATACGCCGCGTTTTGAGGTGCACGGCCAGAATGGTGATGTGCACGGCCGTGCACCCTGGCCGTGCAACTCGGGAAAACCCGGTTTTAAAGCCTAATCCGAGCCAGAAGCCAAGGATCGAATTTATGGAGCAAAAACAGAGTTTTAGAGAGAGAAAGTGCGAAGAACTCACCCTAGAAGCCATCTTGGAGCTGGGTTTCATCAAATCAAGCTTGGAGATCGTGCTAGGAGTGGAAATCATCATCCCGGAGCAGATTATCCTCATCATTATGAGTATGACTACTCCGATTACTGTTTTCTTTTCTCTCTCTATGGAGTAGAACCTCTCTCTCACTTGGGGATGAAGAACCCTAGTTCTATGTGTTAGGGGATTGATTGTAATGACTTGGGATGATATTACTGTTTGATTTTAATCGAATGATGCATGTTTATTGAGTCAATTGAAGTCTGATCAACTTTTCCTGATTCCTGCTGCAATCTGAGATAGATAGAATCTGATTAGGTTGCTAGAGTCTCATCATTCGATAGTAGGAGACTGGTTATACGAGAGTTAGCCAGTTTACTGCTTTGTACTGGAATCTAATTCCAGTAGTGAATTTCTGTTCTTACTGCTTCAGCTTCTATCCCGGTGAAGACTAGTCGTCTGCCGGGTAGTTAGACTGAGAGGGCTTGGTCAGCTTAAGAGATTCCAAGCTACTGTCGGATCTTCCGCAGTTTAATCAACAGTAAATCAACCCAGGGTAAATTGCAATTGAAACCTAACTAAAGAGCTAGGGGGATTCATTCCCGAGTGACTCTTTCCTGCTTAAGAAAACCGATTAATTTCCTGCTTTATTTCTGCTTTCAGTTTAAACAACAATCACTTACTCTAGTTGGCTAGATAACAGAGAATCACTGAGTAAGCAGTAGATCTAGAGCCCGGGTTGATAATATAACTTGCCTGTTACTGCATTCCCGGTCTGCGATTACACTTGGTCGCAGATTGGTGTTGTGTTTTGGCGTGTCAAGTTTTTGGCGCCGTTGCCGGGGACCCCTCTAGGTTATTGGGGAAAAGTGAGAATTTGTTACTCTAGCTTTTTATTTTCTGCTTTTTATTTCTTCCACCTGTGTGCCTTCACGGGTTGTTTCTGCTGATTGTGTGCAGGTAGTGCATGACCCGTAGCCAGTCGGGAGATCTATTACCACTAGACCAGGAGCTTGAACGAACCTGCAGAAACTTCAAGCGGGCTCTAAAGGCGCGACTGGCTGCGGAGGAGGCGCTATCACAGCTGCAGTTAGAGGAGGAAGAAGAAGAGATGGCTGAACCAGGGAACCATGCTGTGATCCCCGAGGAGCAGACCATGGGCTCCTACTGGACCGCTAGGGCTGCGGACATGAGGTCACCCATTCAGCACCCTCAGGTCCCAGCCAACAACTTTGAGGTGAGCACCTCCGTGATCACCATGCTGCGCGGTTCAGTAGTGTTCCGTGGTAAGGAGGGAGAGTGCCCTCGATCACATCTCAGGCGATTCCACGAGCTCATCGATGGAATCAAGATCAATGGGGTACCAGCAGATGCCATCCAGCTGAGGTACTTCCCATTCACTCTGGAGGGGCAGGCCAAGGAGTGGCTAGACACTCGATCTCCGGGCTCCATCACCACGTTCGCCAACCTGGCGGACAAGTTCCTCACCCGCTACCATCCTCCATCCAAGACAGCTGACCTGCAGAAGCAAATTACACATTTTGCTCAGGATGAGGATGAGACCATCAGGGATGCATGGGAGAGGTACAACAGTCTTTTCCTCAGGTGTCCCAATCATGGTTTCAACGATGCGTTCAAGGTGGGCACCTTCTATCACGCCCTCTTCCCGGAGGACAAGCAGCTGATCGATTCGGTTTGTGGCGGGAACATGCTGACCAAAACCCCGCCACAGCTGAATCAACTCTTTGAAGAGATGGCGGAGAATGGTTATGATTGGGGCACTGCCAGGAGATCGAGGAGAGCACCAGGCCGGGGTGTGCATGCTGTGGGCACCCAGTCATCTGATTTGGTGCAGGTAGTATCGAAGCTGGTCTCAGCTATCGATCGTTCCGGGATGATTCCAGGGACCAGACAGCAGCAGGCGATGCTCTGCCAGTGGTGCGAGAGCACCCATCATATGGTGGAAGACTTCCAGGCGATGAAGGAATCGACCACACCCCAGGAGCAGGTGAACTTCATCAACAATGTCAGGCGCAATGACCCCTACAGCAACACGTACAATGAGGGGTGGCGCCAGCATCCTAACTTCTCCTGGGCTGGGCCAAATCCCAGACCACCAGCTCCACAGGGACCACCGGGCTTCCAGAGGCCACCATATCAGCCCAGACAGGGGCAATTCCAGCAGCCAGGTGCAGCCCCTGCTGCCCCAGTGCAGAATGATCAGATGGCTGAACTGCGGGACTTGGTGGGTTCTCTTGCCAGTGTTAGTGCTCAGAAATTCAACACCTTTGAGCAGTTCATGGAGAAGGCCTCGGGTCAACTCCTGGCTCTGGAAGCTGGTCAGAGGAATACACGGGCTGTTTTGCAGGATATCCAGACCCAGCTGGGGAGCGTGGCCCAGGTAGTGGCTCAAAGGGCTCCTGGTACTCTACCAGGGCAGACCATCCCTCACCCGCCGACCCCGAATGAGCGCTGCAATGCCATCATGACCAGGAGTGGCAAGATGACTGTTGATCCCCCTGCTCGGGAACCGGAGAAAGAAAGCCCTGTCTTAGCGGCTCCAGCGGTTGAACAGGAAGTAGAGAAGGAAGTTGAGGTGCCTGCACCTAAACCGCAACCAGTAGTGAAGGAGTATGTCCCTAAACTCCCTTTCCCTACTCGGTTGCACAAAGACAGGCTGGAGGCAGAGTTCGAGAACTTCATGGCCATGCTTAAGAAGCTGAATGTCCAAGTGCCCTTCCTGGAGGCACTATCGCAAATGCCAAAGTATGCGAAGTTTCTGAAAGAGCTTCTCTCAAAGAAGCAGAAGCTGAGTGAGCTGGCCACGGTAGAGCTCAGCGAGGAATGCTCGGCTATTCTGCAAAACAAGCTTCCGCAGAAGAAGAAGGACCCATGTAGTTTTACTATCCCGTGCTCTATTGATAAATTGCATGTAGAGAAGTCCTTGGCGGATTTAGGTGCTAGTATCAATGTTATTCCATATAAATTGTTCATGAAACTAGGCCTAGGTGAACCCCGTGCTACTAGGATGACCCTTCAATTAGCTGACAGATCTGTAGTGCATCCTAGGGGTATAGTGGAAGACCTTCTGGTTAAGGTTGGCAAATTCACATATCCCGTGGATTTTGTTATCTTGGACATCAGTGAGGACACAGAAGTGCCTCTTATACTGGGAAGGCCTTTCCTGGCCACCGCCAAGGCTCTCATAGATGTGCATGATGGGACCTTAGTTTTGAGGGATGGCGAGGAGAGAATAACGTTTTCTGATGCTGATACTATACCTGCTTCGTCACCTCTTCATGCTGTATCTCACCAGGAGCACGAGTCTGTCGTGTATCCTTCTGTGCTGTCCATTTTGCAGGAACCGCCTCCCACACCTTCGCCGCCACTCCGGACCACTCCGTCACCCAAAGAACAGATCAAGGAGGAGTGGCGGCCGAAACTGCAGGCAGCTAAGCCTGCTCGAAAGAAAGCCGGAGACCACTATGAGCTGGTCCCGCCCCCTCCTTGGCCATCCGAGTATCCACTCGCTTGCATCCTACCGGATGGCCAAGTCGAGCTGGCGAATGCAGGTGGCCACATTCGTCGCGTGCATGGCCACCATTTGAAGCTGTACCTCAAGAGCGATGTGGATCCGCTCTTGAAGGCACCTGATCCTACACTTCCCTGAGCATCCATACTGGCGTCCAGCTAAAAGACGGTAAAGAAGCGCTTGTGGGGAGGCAACCCCACCGAGGTTGATTTCGGGACCCCAGCAAGTCGCACGGCCAGAACCTAGACTTGCACGGCCGTGCGCTATGCCTGGCCTGGCCGTGCGAGCTCTCGGCCAGGAGTGCACGGCCAAAAGCGACAGGTGCACGGCCGTGCGCCTCGGCTCGGCCAGGCCGTGTCGGCCTGCACGGGCAGAAGCACGCCGTGCACGGCCGTGCGCGCCTGCCCGTGCGGCCGGGGCTGCTTCAGCTGACGGTGATGATGGAACTGCTGGCGCTGCTGCTGATGATGCGTTCATGACCGACATCGACCTCGACGATCTTGGCGACGAGTAGGCTGTACTCGTTGCCCGTCTCAGTGGGTTTGTTTTGTTTGTTTTTTTTTTCTTTTTAGACTTTTGTGTGTTTGCTCCATGTGTGCGGAGCTTGAACTTGGTGTCGTTTGTTTTTGTTTTTGGTTTTTCATTTGTGGTTTGATGTAGCCTTCTGGGCTAACACTTATCCCTAACGCCAGTGTGCTAGTGTGTTTCTGATGTTCGATTTGTGCAGCATTGTCCACTCCCCCGTTCGTTTCTCGCTGACTGGTCCACTTCCAGTCCCCCAGCAGTGTTCTTACCCGGTAACATCGTTCCCCTTATCTTTCCCTCTACTCCATTGAGGGCAATGTCGTGCTTAAGTGTGGGGGGATGCTTTGTATCGGTTGGAATATGTATGATGGTGCTTGGAGCCTAGTCCGCTGTCCGAATCTTACGATTTGAGGGCTCCAAGTACTGCTGTTTGATCATATTGGCACTGTGTTTTGATGGATGAACTGATTGGTTTTCGGATTAATGCATGACAACTTGTTTGCGACTAGGACAACCTATGATGAGGACTGAGATGTGCAGTAGAACGATGTAGGGGTTCAGTTTTTCAACTGTTTGCTTGACAACTGTGACTTGATCTGACTTTTTATGATTACTTGTCCTTGACAGTCGTTTATGCATCTAGTTCAGGGTATCAGAATATGAGATAGAGCATATAGGTAGCCATGTGAGATTTGAGCCTGCTCGTTTCTTTCTTGTGCGATAGATCCCTCTTCCATGATGTGTAGCATTCACGTTGTCACTAGCTGAGATGATGGGGGCATAGGATTAGCCCACGCCCAAAACTGACTGTCCTGATGTGTCATATCCCCTAGTCAGCCCCTTTGAGCCGTGTGTTATCCTTTCTTTTGGTCTATAATGAAAAGAAATCACCCTTGTTGCATCTTTTAGAAGGTTCCACAGAGTGGTTTTTATATATTCTCTGCTGTTTCTGCTAAAGTCTATGTGAGTGTTGGAGGTAGTGCTTAAAAGTTGGGCGGATGTTTGAAATATGTGCAGGAGTGGTGGCTCTCTTAAGAAATGAAAAGAAGAATAAAAGAAAAACAAAGAAAAATTGAAAGCAAAAGAGAGCCACTACTAAAAATCTGAATAATGCCCAGTAAGTAGTGTTTCTTAGCAGTCTGGCTTGGAAATGCTGATGTTTATGCCTCCTTTGCTCTTGTGCTCTTAAGATATTGAGTAATGCAGGATAGCAGAAAGAAAATACCGGGTTGCTGACTGTGTTTGTGTGTTCGGGAAATGTGGAACCTTTTGCTATGAATACTTCCACCACCTAAAAGGCCTTTTCCCCATGTCCAAGACCCTAGCCAGTCATTTGAACCTTTGTCTAAGACCCCCTGATTAGTTAGTGGTGACACCCCATATGTGAACTCTAGCATTTAGAGGCTGCCATCATGGTGAAGAGATGATAGGGATTGAGAGAAATAGCATGCGCATCTTTCGCATCAAATTGTCCTGACCCCACTGGTCGAGAGTGAGTGATTCATTTTCATTTCCTATATGCTCTTGTACCCCAGTGAGGACCTAGATTGCTCGGTCTCTATTCTGATGTCTTGAGTTAGATGTATGAGTTGACTGTTTTGAGTAAGTGGTTGAATCAAGTCTAGGTTGGCCAGTGAACAGACGGGAGACTCTTCCTTTACTCGATTTGCTGCACTCGAATGTCCTTTGTGGTGGTTGTCCAGGTTGTTATTGAGGTTGTGCATGTATTGATGTTTGAAAACCAGTGCGATTCACGTGTTCTGTGCCTTTATGACTTGTCCCCAATGTTGGTTGATTGAAATGTGTAAGCTTACCTAGTGTCTGACTTGGTTTGCTTGGGGACAAGCAAACGGTTAAGTGTGGGGGAGTTTGATAGACCGTCATTTACACATGTTTTTACCCCCATTCTTACACCGTTTGAGGTGTTGATTCTCGTGTTTTAGGCCGATTTCACGGTAGGTTGTGCTTTTTTGTGATATTTCAGGTCCTAGGACGTGAATGAAGGCTTAGGAGCGAGTCTGGGGTCGATTGGACGAGGATCGGACGCATGGCGAGGTTCTGAGGAAGTCGCACGGGCACACCCACAACCCGCACGGCCGTGCAAGTGACCAGTTTGGCCGTGCGGGATCGTGCGTGGGCACGCACGGGATTGTGCGTGGCCACGCACGGCCGTGCAAGTGACCAGTTTGGCCGTGCGGGATCGTGCGTGGACACGCACGGGATTGTGCGTGGCCACGCACGGCCGTGCAAGTGACCAGTTTGGCCGTGCGGGATTGTGCGTGGGCACGCACGGGCACAAGTGAAATCCGCACGGCCGTGCAACATACAATTATGGCCGTGCGAGTTGGCTGAGGTTCAACTAATTGATACGCCGCGTTTTGAGGTGCACGGCCAGAATGGTGATGTGCACGGCCGTGCACCCTGGCCGTGCAACTCGGGAAAACCCGGTTTTAAAGCCTAATCCGAGCCAGAAGCCAAGGATCGAATTTATGGAGCAAAAACAGAGTTTTAGAGAGAGAAAGTGCGAAGAACTCACCCTAGAAGCCATCTTGGAGCTGGGTTTCATCAAATCAAGCTTGGAGATCGTGCTAGGAGTGGAAATCATCATCCCGGAGCAGATTATCCTCATCATTATGAGTATGACTACTCCGATTACTGTTTTCTTTTCTCTCTCTATGGAGTAGAACCTCTCTCTCACTTGGGGATGAAGAACCCTAGTTCTATGTGTTAGGGGATTGATTGTAATGACTTGGGATGATATTACTGTTTGATTTTAATCGAATGATGCATGTTTATTGAGTCAATTGAAGTCTGATCAACTTTTCCTGATTCCTGCTGCAATCTGAGATAGATAGAATCTGATTAGGTTGCTAGAGTCTCATCATTCGATAGTAGGAGACTGGTTATACGAGAGTTAGCCAGTTTACTGCTTTGTACTGGAATCTAATTCCAGTAGTGAATTTCTGTTCTTACTGCTTCAGCTTTCTATCCCGGTGAAGACTAGTCGTCTGCCGGGTAGTTAGACTGAGAGGGCTTGGTCAGCTTAAGAGATTCCAAGCTACTGTCGGATCTTCCGCAGTTTAATCAACAGTAAATCAACCCAGGGTAAATTGCAATTGAAACCTAACTAAAGAGCTAGGGGGATTCATTCCCGAGTGACTCTTTCCTGCTTAAGAAAACCGATTAATTTCCTGCTTTATTTCTGCTTTCAGTTTAAACAACAATCACTTACTCTAGTTGGCTAGATAACAGAGAATCACTGAGTAAGCAGTAGATCTAGAGCCCGGGTTGATAATATAACTTGCCTGTTACTGCATTCCCGGTCTGCGATTACACTTGGTCGCAGATTGGTGTTGTGTTTTGGCGTGTCAAGTTTTTGTCAAAAACTTGATGCTCTAAAACACAACACCTAACAAAGGCCAAGTGTAACCAATGAAAGGGACTGCAGTATAGTGGCTCAAGTGATAAATATCGAATCCACGGGTCTCTAGAGTTACTATTACTCAGCTTCAGTTTATTATTTAGCAAATCAGATTAAGATGAAAGAACTAAAACTACTCTAGCAAACTACAGTTAAAGTTAATCTAATTACAGATTGGGAACTCACTTAGGTATGATTCCCCCTAGCCACTAGCCAGATTAATGATTGATGATCTCTAACCTGTTTCACTTTCATTCACAATGCGGAGAATCCTTGACTAGACCTTGAGTCTCGACTAAAGGAACAAGGCCCTCTTGAGTCAATTGCCTAGAGGGACGTATCCTTCTCTAGAACAACTGATCAAGGCGTTCTGAACTAGACTCCCTCTATCGAAAGAGGTTCTCAATCGATACAAAGCAGTGAATCAACCCTCGACTAAAGCAATCGATCCACTACTATCAATCTATGGTGCTCTATTGACCTAATCAGGTATTCCCTCTCATAGAATCAAAGCAGAATCAATAATCTCGACTAAAGCAGAATTGAATCATGAAAACATGCATAGATTGAATATGAACTCAAGATTATCAAGTCAGAGTACTCATACAATCATCCAATCAAACAAACATAGCTAGGGTTCCTCAAAACCTAAGTGAAGGGAAGTTACTCCATAGAGAAGAGAGAGACTGCAGTAAGAATCTTCAGATGATCAGTCTTCAAGTCCGGGCTTGTTCCTCGAGCTTCCAAGGCGAAGAAATCCTCCAACTCCACTCCAAGAATGCCCTCAAATCGCCCTCTCTCTCTAGGGTTCGTCCCTTGGGTGTTTGGGATCCAAAACCCAGCTCTCTCTCCTCTTTGGTTCGGAATTTGGCTTAAAACCAGGAAATCCCGACTCGCACGGCCAGGGTGCACGGCCGTGCATATCACCATTCTGGCCGTGCAACTCAAAACGCAGCGTGTCATTTAGTCGAACTTCAGCCCTCTCGCACGGCCAGGGTGCACGGCCGTGCGAGCTTCAGGGGTTGCCCGTGCGTGTCCTCGGCATAAGGCGCACGGCCATATTGCTCACGTGCACGGCCGTGCAGCCTCCCTGGTCTGCCCGTGCAGCTTGCTCAGCCTCTGTTTAATGCTTCGTTTCTCCCTCGTCCGGACTCCGAATCAATCGCCGTTTGATCCCAGACGCTCGTAGTCTCGTCCTATTTCGTTTCATAACAAGCTTGCATGATTCTTTGTCCATAAAGTGAGGTAGAAATCCATTCTTCTTCAGGTAATGCCCGAGTTTCTTCTCTCGAATCGTCAATTGATCTCTGATTGACTTGAAACTTGCGCCTATGCTTCACTTTATGTGCTAGGACCTGAAATGGGACAAAGGAATACAACCTAGCATAAAATATGCCAAAGACGCAATAATTCAAGCTCAAACAATCAAGAAACAAAGGGGAAAACATGTGCAGATACCGAGTCATCAAATCCCCCCACACTTAACTGTTTGCTTGTCCCCAAGCAAACCTAACTCAAACCAATGCAACTCTTCAGACCTCTATAGCAACAAACACCCCAGATCGTAG